TTTTTCTGACACAAAGTACAATCATCGTATGCTACTGTCATCATTTCAAGTGTGTTTGAGCACTCAATTCCATATTTCACACTAAATTTGATGCAAATTCTTCGATGATTTTTTTTTCAATTGCGTTTCTGACTTTTATGCCTCTCACCAATAGCTGAAACTGTTGATAAATGTTCGGGACGTGGGTCCCAGCATAAAACATTCAAAAAATTGTTAATTGAATGTAGCCCGCGACATTTGAACATTCACATTATTTCTTGAACAGTCCACTAACTTATTTTTCTTAAATTTCGAAATGTGTGGTATTGGTTGGTGATACAACTTCTTTGTTTGTTTTTTCGGAATCAGCACATCAAATTACACAGATTTTTGTATATTGGTTTATACAAACATGGATGTCATTTTAGATAATAATTTGCTACTCAAAGAATCATTAGCATTGTAAAGAGAATTAAATTACATCTACTAAACAAGGTGATTCATAACTTCTAATAACATTTACAAATCGATATTAGAAGACAAAGAACCAGTGAGTTTGTGGCCTTTCAAGAAACTTCAGAAATGAATATAATTTGATATTAGTCGGGAATTTCCTCAAATGTGACGTCTGAAAGATGTTTATTAACGATAATAATTAAAACGTCGTGTTGAACAGTTTCTTATTACATGTTTTGTTTACACGACTCAGGCAGTGCATATTATATTGCCAGGGTCAAACTGACCGCTGATTGTCATGGAATATTTTCCACAGGACCGGTTTTGAAGTGAGTTTCAAAAGGGCCTCAGAAAATTAACATTTGAAAATGAATACTGAAGACGTTTTTGTTGAAAATTCATGATTTTTAGAGCTGAATCTGTAACATTATGGAAAAGAGAAGTTGAAGGCCTAAAAATAGAAAAAATGAATTCAAAGAGAATATTAGAAAATTCTAGGAAAAAACACAAATAAAATGAAAATAATAGGAAACTATAATAATGATCGATATGAGCAATCTCGTCAAACACAGAACATATATTATGAGGACTTCATTTGGAGCACATGCTTTTTTCAAACTTGTGTATTTTGTGTATTTGTCATTAGTGTCAGTTTTTATGTGAATTTTCACGATGTCACTTCAATCGATAGATATTAGAAAAAATTGTTTGAACAGTGAAAACACCCAATGAATCTCAGGAATGACCAATATAAACATCAATTACATATGACAGCTGACACCTATGACAGATACACGAAGTACAAATAAGTGAGCTCTGAAAAAGATCATTAATGGTAAGAACGATATAATGAATACAATGAATCCCACTTTTAAATACCGAATAAAATTTGAAGATAGAAAATACAAACATCATCAACATAATATTTGTATTTGTCATTAGTGACAACAAAATAGCCAACACACAAAAACAAATCTTCCAAATGAAATTCTCATCTCATATGGTCTAATATTATGGAATGGACTTGATTTTATAGTTAAGAATATAGAAGTTATCGTGTAATCGTCTAACTTCACCCAAAAAATGACAGGAAATATAACGAATAGAATCAAAAATATAAAATACCTACATTATCATGCTGAACATAAACGAATGTTCAATATTATTGTTGATTCCCTGTTCAATAATCCCTTTCATATTTTCAATGATGTTTTGACGTAGAAGTATCCAAACAAAAAATGAAACAACTATGAAACTCGATTTCAGAGATGGTTTTATTATTATATGATTCACTTGCGAAGATGGATGATTTGAATCAACTTGATCGGCTGCCGAAAAATATTAATGTTTTGGTCATACGAAAATGTTACAATGAAGCAAATATCAAATTTACAAAGAGATCTCAACTGCAAGGAAGAACTATCATACCACATACTCCCAACAATAAAGTGGAAAAATATAAACGTGGTGAACAACGAAACCAATCGCATGAAACAGTCAAAAAAATTACCTTGAATCACAACCATAAAACCGTAAAAGAAAACGAAGGAATAGCTGATATTTCCTAAGCTCACTTTGCTAACTCTGTCAGTTGCTGTCAATTGCTAACTCGCTCAATCTATTGTTATTATTAGGCGTATCCTATCTTTGGATTGGAATAAAGCAAAGTGTGCGAGATATCAGTGACGATGTTCCCGGCAGATCTTGCATTTCATCAACGTACCACATTGTGAATAGTTGCCCAAATCATAGCCCGAACCAGACACCCATTTTGATAAAACAATTCAATTATTTACACGTGTTGTTGACTGATATATCCGTCCATGGTGATTTGGCAACACAAATTGAATAAATGATAACCAATTTGACAGATGTAGCTTCAACAAGATGGTCAATGATTTTTTCAAAATTTTTCTTTCTTTCCAATAGAGAATAAAGTTGAATTTTTTAATCAACCTAGAAACCACTAAGTCTGAAAGTTTAGAATTCCTTCTCAGCGTATCTTTATTATCTGAACTCAGTCATCATACTGTTTTTATTTATGCACGATGAAAAGTTCTCAAGTTTATTCCACGGATGATTCAATATTGAACTTGAGGAAAGCATTTTAGACAGAAAATTGGACTACTGTCGAAGATTAGTTGCTATCTTTCATGTAGTTTCTTGAAAAATGATCTATTGAGTCGATATTTATTCATCAACATGGTTTCTAAAGGTTTTCTAGCACCTAAAAAGAGAATCCTACTATCTACCAGAATGGATCATGTTGTTATTTCATTTTTTGTTTGAAGGTGGTTGACAATGTTTCGTGGTGTTTCCCATTTAGTGTCGGTCCTCTTCACCAATACGTTCAACAAGAGCAATTCGTTGTAGACTTCTTTCTCCATTGTGAAAGTGATGGAAGGACTTATGTTGTGGATGTACTTCAGGAAGGTGTCTAGTTCTGCATTCCCATGGTTCCATATTATGAAGGTATCTCAACTAGACTCTGGACATATAAGAAGCCCCAAGTCTGGTTGAGATACGTTGACGACACCTTCATAATATGAAATCATGGAAATGCAGAACTAGACATCTTCCTGAAGTTCTTCAACACTGTAAGTCCAATTCATTTTACACTCATAAAGGAATTCATAGCTCCAGCTCAAAGTTCTGAAGCAATCCTGCCATATTGGAAATATATGCCATATTGCCTCGACGAGGTTTCACTGATTTTTTTCTTTTTACTTCCTTGTATGAAATGAATGTGATAAAATTACTTGATCCTGAATAATTATTTTTGGTGAATTGAAAACCTACCAATTCAACGTGAATCACTACTTTTGCACAGGTACCGCTCTCAGAGCGCCGTAAGGATGCTCCTGTAGTGCGTGTGTTTTGTTCCCGAAAAAAATCAAATTTTTTGTGTCATATCATCACTTCATCGAAATATCATTCAACTTAATCGTCTACTTTTACACATGATACCTTTATATTGAGCTAGTCTGTCTCTGTTTGCTTTGGGAAAACACACAAAACCTGTTCTGAAACATACGAATATTCCAAATGCAAAATACCATCATTCGTTCAATAGTATTTATTCAAGCGTTTGAAATGAATATAAATTCAAGGAGAACTGAGTCAGGTGCTTTTGTTTTGATCCGTTCTGGTCAGTTGTTTTGTGAGCATCATCTCGAATACATTACAGGTAAGGACATTTTTTTATGTTGGCATCAATTATGAGAGGAACGTTGATTTATTCTGAGCAGGATGTTTTGTTTTTTCGTTTTGAGGGCACCCGGCGATTTTGAAAAAATGTTTGCGTGTACTTACGTATTTTGATGCGAAAAAAAAAGCGGCGCTCTCCCTTATTCATAAAGTTACGGCCCTTCACAGTTATGAAAAGGTCAACTTTTCAGCCTTCTGTTTCACAAAATCAACTATTTAAAAACACAAGCATCTATTCACTAGGTCACCTTTACACCTTATTCCTCCTTTTTTGACACTTTTCACTTCAATAATGAGCATTTTCCTTATAAAAATGTTAAAAAATGTACGGAGCTGCTTTTTGGTTACATATCTCTGTATTTTACGTTTTAAAGGTTAATGGCATGGTTGGTACGACTGATGCACTCCTAAAGTATATTCCTAAAGTATTTCAAATGTTTTTTACCTTCATTCTTCAGATCGTAAATTGGTTTTTGGTGGTGTATTACGAATTTGAAATAGTAGGCGGCGGCAAATACCAACCACTTTTTTCTGAAATGTCACTAGTAAGTAACCTAAAAATAGAAGAATGTCACAAGGAGAAGCATTCGTTTTTAAATTGAGTTTTTTATTAGAAAAATGTTCATTATTGAAGTGGAAAGTGTCAAAGAATGAGGAATAAGGTGTAAATGTGACCTAGTGAATAGATGCTTGTGTTTTTGAATAGCTTATTTTGTGAAAAAGAAGGCTGAAAAGTTGCCCTTTTCAGAACTTTGAAGAGCCTTAACATTGTGAATAAGAGCTTTTTTCTTTCGGATACGTAATTTACGCATCAAAATACGTAAGTATACGTAAAAATTTTTTCAAAATCGCCGGGTGCCCTCAAAACGAAAATTAACAAGCTGTGAAACTTCAATTGATTATAGTGAAAATTGTTTTTACTTCGTTCATCTGGTAGCACAGAAAAATTTTTTCTTTCTCACGCATTTAGGATTTTTTTCAATGTTTAAAAAAAATCTGTTTAAAATCTGTTTTTCCGTTAATCAGCTGCCGCCCCCATACGAACGACAACTCTCAGAAGTTGAGAAACTTGTGCGAGCTAAGGACTAACGAGGTCTTACCTTTTAACGTGTGACCTAACACGGTATTCTTTTATCTTCAGTAGAATATTGATATCACGTTCGTAGTTTCATAAAATATTTCTGAATTGCTCATTGGGGCATCTCATACTGTACATGAGGCAATTCAACTCAACCTGAAAGGTTTATTTAAATTGTGTGTTTGAAGTACTGATAACTTTCTAACTTCGAGGTTTTGAAAGGTGCAGCAACATTACTGTCGTTGCGCGGCTTCTTCAACCTTCTTGGGGTTCCTTCCGTGGAGGTGCACAAGCGAGGGCGCTCTACTGCTAGGCCAGCCGACTCCTTGCCTTTATTCAAGGTGAACCTCTTGACGCTTGCCGCAGAAAGTACCCTTGCTGTTGGAGGTGGAGTGGGGGAGGATGAGGGTGCACTTATAGTTGCTGCTACTCCTGTCTTTTTTGCTCTCTTTCTCCTTTTGGCCTCGGCGCCGCAAATGCTCTTACGCCTTGGCTTCACGAGGTGATCTGCTATGTCCAGCCTCATTCTGAGCGATAAATTGGTGTGACTATTTCTGTTCATCCCCAGCAAGCTTATATTATGGTGAGAATTTCTGTCTAGCCTCGGGATTGTTTTTGTTTTTTCTGTTGTTGTGTTTGTTCCATTCATGTGTGTTCCCACGAGTAGCAAGAAAAGAGTTGGTCCCCTCTGGAAGAGCCCCGCATTACCAAAGGTAGGCTGATTACAATGAAGTTTCGCCCGGTAGCCCAACAGAATTGTTCGTAACCGCATTCCACTCTGCGGCCATTCAGTTGTCGGTACGATTCCTCACACCTTAACTTGGGTAGGCTGGTCCACGGTGGCATGTTTCGCAAAGTCTTTTGGGGAGTTTCATTTTCCCTCACCATACTCATCATTTCTGCCACTGACCAGGAGTTAGGCCACATCAGCTTCCCGGACAGGGTCCCCAGTCCCCTGGCAGTTTCCGTATCCGCCACCTGGGGACGCGCCTGATAGTTACCCCAACCCACGTGAGTGGATCCAGAAACACTACTTGTGGATTGCTCGAGATACCAAAGGATCCTTAACTATTTGTCAAAATACACAAATTTAAAAGGAAAGAGTCACCTAGTTCTAGTTGATCCTCGAGGATTTTAAAATTGGTGTTTTATTCAATTGAATAATTTCCAATGCTTCCAACGAATGCATCTCCCTTTCTTTCCTGCCTTGTCTGGTTTGCTTCTTGTAGTCAATTTATAACTGACTTCTTATCTGATAACACATGCCTACGGTACCTTATATTGGAATTTCTGCCTGTATGGCCTATATAAGCTTCAGAACAGTCACCACATTCTAGTGTATATATGCCTGATTCACCCCTGTTGGATTTTGCGTTGAAAAACATTTTCATTGAATGAGCATATTTCTTAGCTTCTTCAGATTCTTCATGATTCAGATGCGATCTGCTTTTAGACCTTCATTCCTTCTTGAAAAGCCTTCTCTTATGACGGAATCATAAATGATGTATATATCATCAAATTGAATGTAGATAATTCATGTCATGATGAACTGAAAGGATCCATGGGGATTGTACCTACAATCTGTGAGGGTGTTTTTCCTATGTATGTTGAACTAAAATGTAGTATTAATTTTTGTAGTAGCAGGATTAAGAAAGTTGATGCTATTGCCTTTCAGATCACCTTCGTCACAGTTTTTACTCTCCACCTTCCACTGTTCCATTTCCTTTTATGTATATGTCATACCATTTTCTATCAAATTTGTAGCAAGATATTTCACAAGGTCCTATTTTTCGTTTTTACGTTTCATTATCTTCAGTTTGACAATTCGTCTCCTTTGGGAAGATGTATAGTCATTGCTCTGAAATCTTTGACTAGTGTGGTCGATTTGATGTTCATCCAAACCACTGATTGAGGTGATGAAAAAATGAAGACTGAAGCCTCTGGCGTGAAATAAATACAAAACGAGCACTTTTCCTAAACACCAGAAGTTCAATACTTTTCTCGAAGTGCTTCTCACCACCCAAGTTGGCGCCTTCAGGAAATGAAGACGTCTCCTGAGGACGCCGAATCATTTGGTGAAATGCTCGTCGACAGGAGTGTTGAAGTTCTGGTGTTTGGGAAAAGTGCTTGTTTTGTAGACGTCTTCATCCCCTGAAGACCACCACTTGGTTGATGAAGCACGCTTCGTCAATGGTATTGAAGTTTTGATGTTTGGGAAAAGTCCTCGTTGTAAACTGGTTGTGTCGTTGTTGTCAAATTCAACCCCAGACCACTGCTGAGCTGATCAATAGCAACTTTGCAGCATTTTGGGAGCGATTCGTATTCATAATGAGTATTTTTCGCTTTTCGCCAGTAGAAAACATCCTTCAAATGAATTTACTTGACTAACTTCCTACTTTCCTTACAGATCAACCATGAAGTACTCAGTGTTCATGTGCTTCCTCACCGTTGTATCAATCACAATCGCCGACGAACTCACAGACTGCAAATGTTGGAAGGGGTATGAGCCTCATAAAGATCCAGAGGGTGTGAAATGTTATGGAGTTCTGCTCTTGCATACCAGACCATGCAACGAACCAGAGAGGCCAATATGCAAATGTTCCGGGAATGTAACCGGTATAGTTTCAGATACTACCGGTTTGTGGTGTTCAGAGTATTCCGAAGGAGAGGAGAAAAGGAGGTGGGCGTGTGAGAACAAGGAGGAATGGAATAAGTTCTACGAGGAGAATCCAAGCGAGAAGCCTTGAAGGATATGACAGAAGTGGAAGAATAAGAATGTTATACGTTTACTCATTTCAGTCAAAGTATTGCTTCTATTGACGCAATGCTTGTGACTAGACTGTTGCTTGAATAAAGAACTGATTTTCTGTAAGTTCATTCACTAGAGAAAATATCCCATTTCAGCTTAATATCAAACAAAAATGGTTAAACCACCAAGCAGCTGGTTTTTAAGAATAACGCTGGTAGTGTGAGATAACTATCGTCAGTGATGGTTGTTTTGTATGGTTGAGGACCATGATTTGATGAGTGTGATTTTACAATTTCGTATCTTGCGAAGTACACCATTTTTGCGTGAAATTTCAATTAACAAATTAGTAATAATTTTGACAGGTTAACTTAGAACAACGAAATATCATCATAGAAAACTATTCAGGCCACTAGATTGTACAGTACTCAATTGTATACATAGAAAATAGAGAACTGGAGTAATTTGAAAAATGGAAGAAATCTAATTTTCCAAGTGCAAGGTACTGGAAAGATATAGCGATAATAGAACACTTTGATGACAACTCTCATATCTTTGTCTATATAGAAGAATCTACATGGTCTCCATTTTTTATTATGAAATCAACAGAATTGCAGGTAACAAAGTTCCGCATCAAATGGAGTTGACTGAAAAATACAAATATTAAAAATTAAAATGAATATTTGTACTATTTCTGATGTTCAAACAGTGAAAATGATCTCATACACATCTAGTGCTACTGGTGATGGCATTTGAAATGAGACAGATGGATAATTCGTATTCAAAAGGTCAACAAAACATTGTTATCAACAGTTGATCAGCTGTAACTCTGTGGAAATTGGGATATTGGGCAAATAACTCCCCTGTATTTCAAAATTTACGCTAGGACTATGACTGTAGCTCTGCATTATATACTTTTATATATCATATTTAGGAAAAAATATTTCATAATCAACCTCATTTCATATCGTATTCGCAAAACACACTTCAGTGAGATATTTCCACTTGGAAGTTCACTAAACCGTGACACGTGTTTTTATTTCCATAATTGTTACATTAATACGAAATTCACAGGTTTCAGAATTTGATGTGAGTATTTTTTTTCATACTAAACGTCATTATGAGATTCAATTCAATTCAGATCTGTTATGAATTCTTGAGTGATTCAGACCAGAGGTCTCCAAACTACGGCCCGCGGGCCAAATCCGGCCCGCGTCAACCAATGATTTACTATCATCAATCTTGCCCGCGACAGCCAATGATTACCTAATTGTTGTTACTATTGCTGTGATAAGTTGAAGAAGAAAAGACAGAATGATAATTACTTGGTTTTATTTACTTGCAAGGTAATGAAACAGAAATGATGACAAAGAAAACTTAACTTAAATATCTGAGTTTAAGCATATAATAACTAACAAATAATTGAAATGAATCACAGTAAAACAAAAACACTAATGAGATTTATGTAATTGTGATTTTCCACCGACAATACTTTGTAGTTGTGGATCAATTTTACTTGTACCAATTATCAAAAGAGATTCAAGATGCTCATCGGTTAATTGAGATCTGTAAACATTCTTTCAGTACTTCATCTTGGGAAACGTTTTCTCACACAAGTAAGTAGTACCAAAAACAAAAAACAACCCATGAGCAAATTTATGCAAATTATCAAATTGTTCCAGTGGAAGACTCTTATTAAATTCCAACAAAGATGAATTTTGATATTTGTTCTTAAGCATATCACTGCACCGTAAATCAATAATTTCCATTTGGACTTACGGAGCCAGGGTTTCAATGTCAGAATCAAAAGGATTTTGAAAAAGTTTAATTTCATTCGCAATGACATCAAAATCTGAAAAACGAGTATCAAAATTTATCTTCAAAGCACTCAAAGTTTCGATTGCAAAATTAACGGGAAATTCAGTCTCTGTAGTGTGGCTGAATATTTCACATGTTTCATATTTTTTACGTAATTGCGATTGAAATAGTATTATTTTCTGCCTGAAGGATTTGATATTGGTGCAATCTCAAATTCAGTTCGTTCATATGATATGTCAAATCGACATAGAAGGCTAACTTCCACACCCCTTCACTATTTTCTAAATCGGCAAAAGGGCGCTGCTTCTCATTTAAAAAAATTTCGATCTCTGCTCGAAGTTCAAAAAAGCGTTTAAGGACTTTTCCGCAACTAAGCCAGCGTACGGCAGTATGATATGGTAAATCATTTTCTCCAATCTGTTGAATAAACTCGCGGAATTGTCGGTGATTCAGCCCAGTGGATCTGATGAAGTTAACAACTGATATGACTGCTTTTAGAACTTCAGTCATGTCCAAACATTTTCCGCACAAGGACTGTTGATGAATGATACAATGTAAGACTAATGGTTTCGAACCACCATCATTTTCTATAGCCTTTGACACAAGTGCAACCACTCCTTTATTTTTACCATACATATTTTTGCCTCCATCAGTTGTTATACATTTCAAATTTCCCCATCGAAGGTTATTTTTATTCATGGCATTTTCAACTTCAAATATCTGTCCCAGTTGTCATGCCGTGAACACTATCAATATCAAGAAGTTCTTCATACTCTTCATAGCTTTTATCTACTCCGCGAATAAAAATCAACATATGAGCAGTATCTGACACATCCGTTGACTCATCCAATGCTAGAGAAAACCACTCATGATGTCCATTTTTGTCAGACAGTTTTTCTGCGACGTCTTGCACCCTCCGAGCCACGGTGTTTGCTGACAAACTGACACTTTTAAATAAATTCGCCTTTTCGGGGCATATTTCTTCGGCTACTGCAATCAAGCATTCTTTTATCATTTCTCCATCGGCAAACTTCCTGTATACTTGGAGTAACTTTGAAAATGTTTCGATTCACAGTGTTGTTTAATGTTATAGTCTTTGATAACAGCTATGGTTTCATTACAAATTAAACATAGCGCCTTATTACTGGACTCAATCACAAAATACTGAAAGTTCCATTTTCCTTGGAACGTTCTGCATTCACTGTCAATTTTTCGCTTCTTTTCCATACTAACAAATCACACATAAAAACAATAAGTCAAATCAAAATACTTTTATTGACGGGTGTTACTTTATTTCACAATAGACAGTTTCTCTTCCTTCGCCTTTCCTACGCAGACTAACTCGCAGTTGCGCCGCTAGCCTTTTTTTATATGCAATTATTACTGACATCTCGAGGTGATCGGAATACACTAGCTAGAACCAGAATTTTCTCGAACAAACGCGGTAATTCCAAATATTTAATTACGCCTAATGCCACCTAGCGGGTAGCTGAAAAAGATACTACATAGTACCACTACTCGCCACTAGATGTCGTTAAGTGTCACAATACACAATAATAATTGAAATGCAAAAAAAGGGTAAGTTTGCTAGAAATATAGTTAAGGGCAGAAATTGGCCCTTGTAACAAACTGAAAAAATCATTATGGTCCGAAGACTTCAAAGTTTGGAGACCCCTGATTTAGACAATTCAATTTCAAAACTATAAATTGAAAAATTAATTTTCAATCGCAATAATTAAGTTTGAGTTGATGGAACAGATAAGTTTTCATTAAGAGGATTCAAACAGCTCACAAAAAAACTGAGTTGGTCATTTCAATGGGCAAAGTTTTGAGAAATATTTCAGAACAGTCTTAGTGTGGAAAGGTGCCTGTTTTAGGAAATTACTTTTTTCTAAGCAATAAATTGTATGTGAAGAACAATATTATGATTTGCAATAATTTTTTTTTCAATTTTCACAAATATCTCTTATGATATACTGTAAAGTATACAATATAACACACAAATTCCAAAATTTTTATAGTGTCATATGTCAAAATTGAATGATATAATTTTTAATTAAAAGGAAATAAACATTATTTAATTTCGGTAAGATAAATCTGTTTTGTCCATCTCCAAGAATTCTGTTCACTTTAGAGGCTTCAAGAAAAATTTTCAAACCCTTTCCGATTGATATCTATTGGGGCCTGCCTTTATATTCTACACGAAAAGTCATATTTCATTTTCAATCGCCGTCTTTTCTCTGGGCAATGTTAAATCGATGTAATTTAAAATGAGAAATTTGTTAAGCTCCTTGAACAAGTGTTATATTATTTATACTTGCGATACTTCAATTTATTATGCAGCTGGAAATTGCTTTCGAAACAGCAGTTATTTCTTATCGTAAGTAAATGTTTCTATCAACTGCAAATTGAGTCAAATCGAGTCAGTCTAGTCAGTGCCATTGATTTTACTTATATATCCATCAATATACAGGCTATTTAAAAAAAAATGTTTAAAATATGATTTTCCGTTAACCAGCTGTCGCACCCCTACGAACGACAACCCTCAGAAGTCGAAACTTGTGCGAGCTAAGGATTAACGAGGTCTTACCTTTCAACGTGTGATTCCTAACACGGAATCCAGGCTTTGCATGAGAATCTTTTGAGAAGTAAGAGATAGTGTCCCAAATTATAGTTATCAATTAGATTTTTTTTCTCGGGTATTGAATAAGATTAGATCCAAGATGAGTGGGCCTATTCGACCGCAACCCGCAAGGGTTTATTATGGCTCACACCCAGCTTCTTAATGAAGCCGATTAGTTTGATTGGTGAGTGGTCTTTCAGGTCAGATGATGAAAGTACGGCTCTGCCAAATTCTCTTCTATCCCTCCCGGTTCGAAGACACAAATTCTTTTTTTGTTCACAAAATTCTCCATTCATTTCTGTCAACTAATTGGGTGCAGTACTCAATAGTTTTGACGACTAAAAATTTCAAATTAATAAAAACCCTCGCAATCTCTCGTCGAACACCTTGTAGTTGAACGACAAGTGGCATGTTTTTGCCTTCTCGCCAAAAGGCGTTGATGAAAGTGCAGAACAGGCGGATCTAATATCCAACAGAAAGAGATAACTACCGATAATTCAGTCGCAGAAACGATTCCCTGCACCCATAATACGATATTCTCTGCTGCTGTCACAAGCTGCTTTGTATTCATACAATTCCACTCGATAAAGGGCAAACGTAAAATACTTTATACTTTTCAATTTCTCGTTATATGTTTCGATGGGTGGAAACGGGGTGCTGTGTATATGTGAAGTTTCTGTCACAA